CTAATTTCTTTCTATTTTTAGTAGAGACGGGGTCTCGCTCTTGCTCAGGCTGGTTTCGAACTCCCGAGCTCAAACAATCTGCCCGCCTCGGCCTCCCAGAGTGCTAGGATTACAGGCATGAGCCACCGGGCCTGCCATTTTAAATGGAGAGAACGAGTATTCAACAGGAATCTGTGTGAATTGTATTAATTCCTATAATAACGTGAGCCTGATAAAATGTTGGGATAGACACACAATAAAAAGAAAAGAATGTAATGTGGGCTTTGTGAAATCAGATTCTGACCTTCATAATATAATCAAATAAAATCTTTGTGTATTTCTGGGGTTTTTTTGAGTGTACATGCATAATGTGTGAACAAATATTTTTACTGATTGTCTCTGGCAGTGAGTATTTGCTGGCATTTTTCCATTTTGTAATTTTATGCATTTTCTTTTCTCAGTGAACATAAACTTTTCCAAAGCAGTAACACAATATCCTGAAAATCACTTCATGTAAGTACATTTTTTTTTTTTTGGAGGGACTGGTTCTTTTTTTCAAAAAGACACTTGTCAATATTCAGTATCAAAACAGTCGCACTATTTATTGGTTCTCTCTTTCTCCCAGTTGGCCCCAAAGAGACCACACCAAAGGAGAGTACATTTTAAGCCAATAAGCTACAGGATGTACACCTAACAGACCTCACAGAAACCTCATCAAAAAGTGGGGATTGGGCAGGGGAAAAAAACTTGAAAAGATCAGCACACCGCCAGCCCACAAACTAGAGAGTTCTCACAGCCAGATGCGGGTGGCCAGGGTGCCCCAAACCCAAAGAAGCAAAGTTTCAAAATAATATAAAATTTTCAAAGTTTTGTACATAAGTTAGTGAAGATTTCTCCAGCACCGACTGATACAAAAGCACAATGAGATGGCACTTTGAGAGATAGCAGCTTCAGACCCAGAAAAGGGTAACGAGATGAGTTTCATACGGCTAAATCAGTGGCAAAAACGTAATTTTCTTTCAAGGAGGCAGGAGAGCGATTAAGTGGTCCACTCAAAGTAAGGGGCACATGATCCTTTCTGTGAGTTGGTTAGGAAGGGGATAGGACAAACATTTGGTCTCAGAGGTCTCACCATCTTAATTTGGTCACTTCTAATGAAAAAAATAAAACTGTCCAAAGATACCTTAAAGCTGAAAACCTGAACAGCATGCTTTTGTTGTTGTTGTTGTTGTTGTTGTTGTTTTTGGCTTACTCCTTGGGATCCCCTTTCAGGTTTGGCAGGTACTTTGTACAGAGCAACGAGGTTTCCCATAGTGATGTCTTTCCCTGGGCCCTGGTTCTCAGTAAGACAGGCCCATACCTATTTGCCTCCTCCATAGAGTGGGCAATAATGCATTAAGCTGCAAAGTCACCTTCCAAAAGTGAAAAAGGGATTAGATTGCTGCATCAGAGCTGTGGAAGTATTTGGAATGTTTACAAATGGTTGCTACACAACGACAAAAGTAGTTACAAAATGTGTACATCACAACATGCTTTTAAAGACATTTTGCATTGTGCTCACATTCCCTTAAATGTTCCCAAAGGTCCTCAGCCTCTAGCCCACCTGGAATCTCTGGGAAGAGGCAGAGACAGTTTCGTGAAAAAGATGTGGTGGGTGGGGTGGAGGATGGAGGGGGACGGCGAAAGGAGAAACAGCCTTCCAGTTAAAGATCAGCCCTCAGTTTAAAGGTCAACTTCGGGCAGGCCGGCCTCAGGCGGAGTCAGGTCAGAGGGAGAAGCAGCGGCAGGGCGGGACTGGGGTGCTCTACGTCTCATTCAGGTCAAGCAGAGTCTGGTCCAGCATCCTCGTGTACAGAGGTGCCCGTCTTCGGTACATTTCAGTTTATCTTCCAAATCATCAATTGCCTTTTCCAGCTTGGCTATCCATCTCTCAGCAAACTTAG